GGAAGGATCTGAGTTCAAATACGGCCTCAGACACATAACACTCACTAGCTGTGTGACCCTGGGCAAGTCACTTAACCCCAAGATATATATGGAGATACACACACACACACACACATATATACACACATAGTAATAATAGCTAGCATTTATATAGCACCTACTATGTACTAGGTATTATGCTAAGCGCTTTGCAAATAACTCATTTGTTTGATATTGTTTGACACACTCTCATGTGTTTGGTATGCTTCCTCTTCTTCTTCCAAGGTGTGTAGGTGGTCTGATCTCTAAATTCCCAACCTTGGGAACTTCTGAACCTAGAATTACCCACCAGGTAAGCCCTAGGGCAGGTCCTGCCCAGGAAACCTCCCTTCTCAGGCCAGAAGGCTAGATTTCAGTATTACACTGCTTAGGGTAAACTTAACACGATGAATTCAAACCTATCTACGCAGGATGCTGAGGTTCATAAATACTGTCCACGGACTGCCTTCTTGGGTCAAGTGGACAAGCACGAGACTACATGCGCCATGCCCTTCTGCAGGAAATCTATCAGTGCCCCTCTTGTGGCCCTCCTTTGAGTGGGGAGACTCTGCTCTCGGGATGTCTCCTCAGAATGTTTTCAGACTAGCACACACGACCCCCACATGCCTCTGCTCCAAGGTGCCTTTTCTTGCTGCTTAGGGGAAGAGCCACATGGGCACAAGGCTTCTCTTCCCTCAAGGACCAGACCCACCCTGTTGGTGTGCCAGTCTTTCTTCCAAACAGGGGAATACAGCAAACTGGTCTTTCTGCTCACTTTTATAGACCATAGCTCTTCCCCCAAAAGTCTATTCTCCTGAATCCTACCTTATATTTCCTTGTGATTTCTCACCTCTGTCATTTTATGTCTTTCCTGTTTAGGCTCTTCCAAGCTCCACAGGGAAAATGGCAATGAGGTTTTGTGGAAAGGGTGGTAAATCTGGAGTTTTCCCTGGACCTAGGTTTAAACTCTGACCCTATCAGCTTGGAGGTGTGTGACCTTGAGTCAGTCACTTTGCCAGTGCCTCTGGAAAATAAATGATCTCTAATGCCCCTGTGAGCTCTACATCTATGATTCTTCTCTGTTACCTTTCTCGTCTCACTAAGGGATCTTTTCTTAATATATAGTTTTGGACCTACTGACACCTTGTCATGAGTCTTACCAGGGCAAGGTTTTGCCATCCCCATTCGTGGAATATTCTTACAGACCAGTAAGGACAAAGTATCTAGAGTCCCCCCCTCCCCCCCGTACCAATCCCCCAGTGGCTTGAGTTCCACACATATTTTTAATTGAAGAAAATTCTATTCTTCTAATTCTGAGATTTTTAGCAATTTATTTTGTGACTAGTTAAGTCCCACGTATTAGAGTGAAGGTAGAAAGCCTTTGATGGACAATAAGATACAAGGTACAATTTACAGACCTGATCTACTCCAGTCCCCACATCACCAACTACCCATTGCCCAGATGTCCCGTAAGGCTTCTCAAACTCAACACGTCCAAAACAAAACTATCTTTCCTCCAAAATTCTCCCCTCTCCCTAGCTTTGGTTTTTGTTGAGGGTATCACCGTTCTTTCCATTGCCTGAATTCTCCACTTCGGTTGTCCTCCACCCTTCTCCTCTTCCTTTCCTCTCCACCCCTCATACAAGCAAACCCTTACTTGTCTATTCTGCCTCGGCGACATCTTTCAAATCCATGCCCTTCTCTCCTGCACCTGCCTTCACCTTCCTACAAGCCTCTATCACTTTTCACCTGGACTATTCCAATAGCTGCAGAATCCCCAAATCCAGCCTCTTCATTCCCCATAAACTACCAAATCGATTATCATTAAAGTATAGGTCTGATTGCGTCACTCCCCTCCTCAACACCACCCAGAGAGTCCTCATTGCTCCTGAGATAAAATACAAATGCCTCTATTTGGCTTTTCAAGCCTTTTGCAGTTGGGCTCCAGACTTTCTTTCCAGGATTATTAGACCTCACTCTCCTTCACGCACTGAAGCATCCAGCAAAACGGGTTTGTGTCCAGTTTTCCATCCACAATATCTCATCTGTTTCTCTGTCTGCCCAAGTTGTCCCCTATGCCTGCAACGCCCTCTTTCCTCACCCTTTCCTCATAGAATCCCTAGCTCCTTTCAAAGCTCAGCTCAACTGCTGCCTCCTATAGGAAGCCCATTCCGACCCACCCTCCCACCCCCAACGTGCTAGGGCCCCCTACCTAGGAATAATTTCATATCTATTTTGTATTTAATTTTCTATTTACATATTGTTTCTCCCCTCCCCCTCAAAGTGTAAGTTCTTTGAATGTGAGTCTTTAATTTTTATCTGTGTCCCCACTCCTATCCTTTCCCAATGCCTGGAACCTAGTAAGTATTTAATAAATGCTTGTTGAACTGAATTTAATTACCTAGGTAGGATGTGACAGGCTCTGCTCTCCAGGTAGGGGAAACCCTGCCAGCAAAAACAAAGGGCAAAGAAACAGAAAAGTCCTACGGGGTTCCGCAGGGAAGTGAGGAAACTGGTCCTCTTGGAGAATTATGGAGGTCAAGTGGAAAGCTGGAGAGGTAGGGTGAAGGGAGGCAAGGCTGGAGAGGTATTACAGAGAGCACTGAACACTAAGCTAAGGAGTTTGGATTTCGTGCTGAAGCAGCTGGAAGCCATTTTGTGTTCTCCAACAGGGAAATGACATAGTTTCAAAAAGGTTAATCTTTGTAGGAACAGGATAGATTAAGAATAGAGGGGGAGGCCCCCAACGAGGTTGTTGGAAATAATCTAGGTGAAAAGCAAAGATCCCTAAGGGTCTGGGTATCAGGAAGCTTAAATTCCTTGCTATTCACTTAGATTCTTTCTGTAAGGCCAGGACAGCAGACTGACAGCCCCTGATCAGGGTGCAGAGAGGGAATCCACTGAACTCTAGTGGGAATTGGGGATTAGAGAGGGAAGAAGGTACTAAAAGCATACTTCAGGGGCAGCTAGGTGGCACAGTGGATATAGCACTGGCCCTGAAGTCAAGAGGACCTGAGTTCAAATGTGGCCTCAGACCAAACACTTGACACTTACTAGCTGTGTGACCCTGGGCAAGTCACTTAACCCCAACTGCCCCCCCCCAAAGATACTTCAAAGGAAGACTGGGCATGCTTTGATGACCAGACATGCCTAGGTTCCAGTCTTCATTTCATCACTTACTAACTACATGAATATAGGCAAGTCCCTTTGCTTCTCTGAGACCTTTCCTCATCTGTAACTCAGAGGTCTCATGTATGCACTACTTCATGGAGTTGTGAGAACCTGTTTTGTAAACCATAAATTACCACATAAATGTGAGCTATTGTTTATTACAGTTAGTTATCAATAGCAGTAAGAATAACTATAGAGAAAATTTATGGTAGGACTCCAAAGAGAATCAGATAGGATGAGGGTGGGGGGCACACACATTGTCCAATGAAATGGAAGAACTGATTTAAATATTGTTTCTGTTGCAGTGGTGGAGGTATTGTGACATAATGATGGATAGCCAGTCATTGTGGACAGTGGGTTTTGAAGTCAGGAAGACTTCTGTTCAAGCTCTTCCTCCTAACTGGCTCTTTGACCATGGGCAAGTGAGTCGCTTAACCATTTAGTGACCCAGCAACTCTCTAATACTGCAAATTACAGATTAGTTTGATCTGTATTGGAGGGAGCTTTCACACCAGGAGGTACATCTCACATACAAGCACACAGGTGGGAAAAACACAGGTCTAGATTTCATTCATTGTTGTTAATATCAATAATTCCCCGCCTAGGTCGAAGCCAGAAGAGGTCTTCATCCTGAAGGATGTGACAGAGATGGGGAAGTCTGAAAGGACAGTCCATTTGGAAGGAAAGTGAGGAGGTCAGTTTTAGACATGGTGAGTTTGCAAAGTTAACGCCCTGGTCTTGGGGAAACTGAGGCGACGGAAAGAGTCCTTCTCTCTCCTCTCCATCCACCCCAGAAAAGCGAGAGGGCGGGCTGGGCACTCAGGTCCCCGGGGTCCAAGAGCCCCCCACGGCTCTGCCCACCTGCACCCAAGAGGCCTCCCAGGCCGATCCCTCCCACCGTCCCTCCTTCCGCTCCTCCGATCTCGCAGCTCCCCCTGGCGGCGGTCGGTTGCCATGTCAACCAAGGGAACCCGGGGGGCCGGCGTGGGGAAGGCGGCCCCCGGCCCCCGGCTCGGCCCCCGCTCACTCCGCGCCTCCTCCGTGAGCCTCTCGGCCGTTCTCCCGACTCGGAGCCCGAGGGGTGGGGGAAGCGGGCAGGAAAGGGCTCGGGTTGCTCGCTGTCCCCACGACGGCTAAGACCTGGGGGCGCCCCTGGTGCCCTGCCTGGGGTACAGAAAGGGAAACTGAGGCACGGCTGGGCGGCAGACGGGACGCGCTGGGCGACTCCCCGTCGGCGAACCGAGGGCTCGATTCCAGGCTCCCAGGCGTCCGGGCTCCTGGGCCCAGACGTCGCTCTTCGCTTTCCTCTCTTCGGCACTTACGGGGGGGCGAGAGGAGGTGGGGAGGTGGGGACGGGACCCCCGGGGGGAGGGGCCGCGGCTGGTGACGCACCGTGACACCCCCACCCCCCACAGCGGGCGGGTCCGGGTCCGGGGCGGAGTCGCGGCAGGTGCGCCCGCGGAGTAGGCGGGCGAGGCCGGGCGGCGTCTCCCCACCCCCCTTTATAACGCGCCCCCAGCCCCTCCCCTCCAGGCTCCCCCCATCGCCCCCAACCCCTCTCAGTGTCCTCTCCTCCTACTGTCTCAGTCTCTTCTTCCCTTCCTGCCCCAGCCCGGGCCTGGGAGAGGAGGAGGAGAGGAGCTAGCGTCCCCGGGCCCGGCTCTGGCTCCGGTTCCCGGGGGCGGCTCCCCCCGCCCTCCTCTCCCCGCCCCCAGCCCGGCGGCGGCGGCGTCGGAGAAATCGGAGTCGAGAAGGAGGAGGGAGGAGGAGGAGGAGACTGCGGCTCGCCCGGGATCCGCTCCGGAGCAGCTCCACGGGCTAGCTGCCGGGCCAATGCAACGGGACGGGCCGCCCCGCGCCCCCGCCCCCATCCCGGGGCCCCGCCTTCCCGGCCCCGGAGGTGTTGGTAGTGTTGGCGGCGGCGGTGGCGGTGCTGGCGGCGGTGGCGGCTCTACAGCCCCAGCAGCCCCCGTCCTCCCGGGAACTACAAGTCCCAGGGGTCCCGGCGGTGGCCGCAGGGCGGAAGAGGCGGGGCCGGCACCTCGGGGCCGGAAGTGGCCTGGGAGGCGGAAGTGGCGGGGCCGAGGAGGGGGCTGGAGCGTGGGGGGCGCGGCGGCGGCGGCAGCGGTAGCGGCGGCGGCGGCGGCGGCGGCGGCGGCTGCAGCAGGACCTGGGCCAGGGGCAGCGGGGGCCGCCAGTGGGGCGGCGGGAGGCACGGGCGAGGCCGCCATGGCCAAGCAGTATGACACGGTGGAATGCCCCTTCTGCGATGAAGTGTCCAAGTACGAGAAGCTGGCCAAGATCGGCCAGGGCACCTTCGGGTGAGCGCCGGGACGGGCTGGGGAGGGGAGGGTGCGTGGGGGTGGGACTGGGCCTCCTGGGGCCCCGGGCTGAAAGGCACCTCCAGGCGCCGGCCGGGGCGGGGGCCCGGGGCAGCCCGCGGGACGCTGGGGCGGGGTAGGGGCGAGGCCTGGGCGGAGCCGCGGGGCCGAGGCCCGGAGGCGGAGGGGGGACCGCCCCCTGGGAAGGGGGCCGGATCTGTAAAGTTAACAACCTGACTCTAGAGCCTAGGGCTGGAGGCTGAGCCCTTCTACCCCGGACCTCGAGGCTGAGGGGGGCTGTTGGGCAGGGTCTTGGGCCCTGAGGCTGTCCGACAAAGGTAGGCTGGAGGACTTGAGGTCCGGCCCCGGGGTGCGTCTGCACGGGACACTGAAGGTCAGGGCAGCTTGGCGAGAAACGCTTTGGAGGGAAAGGAGTTCAGGTTATGGAGAGAAAAGGGAGGCGGGGTAGAGGAAACCCTTCAGAGGGTGAAGGGGCTTCAGCTTGGGGGAGAACTGAACAAAGGAGGCGCAGGAAGGGGTGGAAAGTAAGGGAGAGTTTTAAGATAGGAGTTGGAGGAAGATCTGAAGGGGAGTCTCTTTACAGACAGGTTTTTGGTTTTGTTTGTATTTTTCAGTTGAACTAAGGGTATGGTTTGGTGGCAAGAGCAAGGGTCTGAGATTCAGGCCACTAATTCATAATGTGATCTTGGCCACACACACTGCCCCCCCCACCCCCACTTCAGTTTCCTCATCTATATAGTGAACTGTTTTTAGAGTAAGCTTCTTTCAGTTCTAATAATTGATGTAAGAACTTGGTATAAAGAGTCATTGCCATGTTTGATAAGTTCTGGGAGGAGGGTGAGGATGCTGGGCAGAGAAGGAGCCTGGATAAACAAATGTGCCATCCCTTGGCTTGCAGTGAAGTCTTCAAGGCCAAACACCGACAGACTGGCAAGAAGGTGGCCCTGAAGAAAGTGCTGATGGAAAATGAAAAGGAGGGGGTAAGTGCATGGAATCTGGGTCCTAAACTGGAAAGGGAATATGAAACCCTGGCCGCATTGTCCTCTCAATTTGTTCAGCCGGTTGTCTGTGATTAATATCTATGGAAAACCTTTAGTCAGCCAGGAGTGCTGCTAAATATTGACTTCTTATTTTTTGAGCCAGTAGAACTGAGGTCACGTAGGCTCACTTCATAGTGGCTTCTCACTGTGTACCTTGATTGTTCACACCAGTTCCTCTAAGTCCTGATTAATACCTCAGAGTTCACTTGATTCCATTAAACATCTAGTTAACTTTTTCTAGTCCTCACAACCTGTGAACTTGCTATACTAAAGTCCACCTATCAGTGCAGTATGTTCGTACACTACTGTATTATTCCCCTTGCAGTTGACACTCCCCACCTCCCACCCCTTAAAAAGCTTTGGAGTGGGTGTGGTAGGCAGAGCAAGAATTCTGATGCCTTAATTATATTGACAAATGAATATTAGCTCCTCTAGAAAAAATTTTATTCCCACTCTATTCATCTGTTAGCGTTTATATAAAAAGCTTTCAAAGAGCTCCATTTCAGTGAATTTGGCTAGCAAGAAACTAGGTTATCACTTCCTAAAAGGAGTAATTCAGAACTTTTATCAGCAAGGATTCAAACATGACATGGTTTCCCTTGTATAAGTTCACAAATAGAAGGGTGAGCACCTGTGTTTGTGTAGTCTCTCTGCGGAAGGAAATTATTGTCAAGAAACCTTTATCCATCTGTTTAATCACAAAGAAATGATTTGAGCCCTCTTAATAGACAAGGTGGAAGGATGAAGCAGTGAACTACTATCTTGTCTTAACTAAACTTTCTATTTTGGCCAACATCTAGCACAGGGCTCTTAACAATGGGTGGACTGTTAATGAATATTTGTTAAATTTGACACCAGGAAAAAGTTTGAATTCATCAGCATTGAAATGGTTTGAGTTGAGATATTTGGTTTCATTTGCTAAATAGTGTTCAGAGTCAAAGAGCAAAAGCCTGGTAAGTGCTTTGTTATGTTGGCTGGCACTTTGAGGCCAAATTAGAACATTTTTGAATCCTGTAATTTCCCAGATTTCATTTTTCAACTTTAGTCCAGATGTGTGTCTGATTTTCAGCTTCTGGAAACACAGATCTAGAGTCTTAACATTTATTTGCTGGGAACAGTCTTAGAAGTATCAGCTCCCTCATTTTAGAAATGAAGAAACTGAGACCAAAAGAAGTATTGACTTACTCAAGGTCACACTGAGATGGTACTAGAGCTCAACTGTCAGATGACTTCTAAAGACCTTTCCCCCAAATCAGATTCACCCTAGGTTTCTAATATTTGTGTAGAGATGGAGGAGCTTTCCGGAAACTAGACCTCTAGTTTAGTCAGATGGTAGAGTAGAAAATCTTGGTTTTTTTTTTCCTTTCCCCTTTAATTCATTTGGAAAGTCAGCCTCCCACTTACATAGGAGGTGGTACTGGCAAGCTGAGCCTTGAAGTATTGAAGGAATCTTGCAATTGCAAGCAGTATATGTAAGGAGAGATAACTTTCTACCAAGTGAAGATGGGTAGGTGGGAAATGGAATGTTATGTAGATGGAAAAATAAGCCAGTTTTCCTGGAAGAGGAATAATGTGAAATTAGTCTCAAAATACAGGTTTGAGCCAGGTTGTGAAGAGGTTTCAGTGCCAAATAGAAGAACTTGTATTTTATCCTTGAGACAATAGAGCCACTAAAGCTTTTTGAGTCAGGAGATAGTGCTGTTAGATGTCTTATAGACATAAATCGGTTTGGGAGCTGTATGGAGGATAGATTGAAATCCAGCTGCACTGAGTCATGTTACCTTGGTCCCTCATTTTTGCCTCTCTCTTCTGACCAGTTTCCCATCACAGCCTTAAGGGAAATCAAGATTCTCCAGCTTCTCAAACATGAGAATGTGGTCAACCTAATTGAGATCTGTAGGACCAAAGGTAACTTGTGTTTCTATCTTTGTAGTTTAAAGTTTGTTCCTCCCTCTGTGTCTGTCGCCATTTCTGGAAACTAAATCATAAAATCCTGATGATATTCTGTTCCTCAATACTAGTCTGGATTTTTCTTCTTTGGGTGCTGACTTTTTCCCTCTCCCAAATGTTATTTCTCTTGATTTTTATTCATTTGTTTATTTTTATTTCTCTTGCACCAGAGATGTCCATGATGGCAAATTCTTATTGGACATATACCTGGTGCCCCCCCAGACAAGCATGGTTAACCCTGTGGGTATTCCTGCAGGGGTCAGTAGGGATTTACTGATAGTTCACCTTAGGACTGGTTGTGGGGAAGAAGGTTCTGGGTTTTGACCATTCTCTCTCATCTCATCTTAGCCTCTCCCTACAACCGCTGTAAAGGTAGCATCTACCTGGTGTTTGATTTCTGTGAACACGACCTTGCTGGGCTGCTGAGCAATGCCCATGTCAAGTTTACTCTGTCGGAGATCAAGAAGGTGATGCAAATGCTGCTTAATGGTCTCTACTACATCCATCGGAACAAGGTGAGCCAAACAGCCTTAAAAAATGCCAGGAAGAATTTGGGAGGAGGTGGGGCATGTCGTAACAAGAAATGCTTAAACAAAAGATGGGGGTAGGAATACCTATGGTGTGATGGGGAGATAAGGTTGTAGTGGTTTAGTAGAACCAGATTGTTGTGGAGATACTTAAATGTTAGATTGAGGAGGTTGACTTTTATTCTAGAGACAACAGATGTTTAATGTCAAGGAGGGTGTCACATGCAGGGTTTAGGAAGAGCATTCTGTCAGTGTGTGCAAGATGATTTGGAGCAGGAGAGACCAGTTGAGCGTCTGATGCAGTAGTCCAGCCACAAAATGTTGAAGGGCTTATTGGGGTGGTGGAAGGGGCCAATTTGTGAGGGCCTTTTAAATGCAAGGGTGGACTGAGAGGGATACAGGGTTTGCCCCTGGGGTGCTTATAGCCCACTTAGAGAAACAAGACAGATGTGTTCCAAGCCCTGGGAATATAAAACCAAAAGTCAAACAGTCCTGCCTTCAGAGAGCCTCCATTCTATCCAGGGATATAGCAGCATATCCATCTCTAACAGGAGTCCTTTAACCTGAGGTCTGTGTTGGTTTCCTTTGTAACCTGGTATATTTTATTTTATACATTTAAAAATACTCTGAGAAGGGATCTGTAGGTTTTATCAGATTGTCAGAGGTCTGCAACACAAGAAAGGTCGTCCCCTTTTCTCAGTATATGCTAAATGAATGCAGAGGTTTGGTGGGGAAGACACTAGCAGCTAAGGGAATGAGGAAAGATTTCATGTAGAAGGAGACATTGAAAGAGGTAGAAGTGAGGAGGGAGAGCTTTTCAGACACAAGGTACAGTCAGTGCAGAGGAAACACCATGAAAGAGAGTGTCGTGTGTGAGGAGCAGTTAAGATGGTGTTAAGGGAAATAGTGTATAAGAATGCCAGAAGGGTAGAAGGGGGCCAGGTTTTGGAGAGCTTGAGGTGCCAGCCTGAAGTGTTTATATTTGATCCTGGAGGTAGTAGGGAGACACGAGTATAGGGTAGTGGGATTACCTGGTCATACTTGTCATTTAAGAAAATCACTTTGGCAGCTATGTGGAAGATGTATTGGAGAGGGGAAGAGACTTGAAGCAGGGACACTGATTAGGAGGCTCTTGTAATAGTCCAGAAGAATGGTGATAAGGGCAAAGGGGAAAGCAGAGACTGCCTTAGATTGTAGTGAAAGTCCAAAGGAGTGATAGCTGGTAAGTGCTTTAGGAGTTCAAAGGAAGGAGAGTTCTTCACAGTGGACTGGGGTAATTGGGGAAGGCCTAGTGGGGAAGAGGTTGGATTTGACCTGGGTCTTGAAGAATAGTTAGGATTTGTATAGGAGAAATGCTTTCTAAGTGAGTGATGACTATATAAACAAATAGCCTATAAGTTCCTGCTGTTTCTAGTTTCAAAAAGTCCATTGGTTTAACCCAGAGATCTCACTACTATCCCTTTCCATTAAAATGTCCATTTTTCACAAGGTCAGATATTCTTCTGGGAATATGATTTTTAGGAGGTGAGGAGGAGAATGGAATTCAAATGATAGCTAGGAACATGGAGAAGAACAAATGTGTGTGCCTAGACTGGGGAAATGCTGCCCCAGCTGGCAGCATATGGATCAGAGGCTTCCAAGGCCTCGGTTTTGTACTTTGATTTCTTGTGTGAGTCCATGTCCACTGGACGAAAACCAAAGGGCACATTTAGGCACTAATGTGTGTGTGTGTGTGTCTCTGGGTCTGTGTCTGTGTTCTAACAGATTTTGCATCGAGACATGAAAGCTGCTAATGTGCTCATCACTCGGGATGGGGTCCTGAAGTTGGCTGACTTTGGTTTGGCCCGGGCTTTCAGTCTGGCCAAGAACAGCCAGCCAAACCGCTACACTAACAGAGTGGTGACCCTCTGGTACCGGCCCCCAGAGCTGCTGCTTGGTATGGCCCCATCGGATGTAGATGTATGGGGACATCAGGTGCTGGGGTTTGGGGGTGGGGTGGTGAGGTGAGTTGGTGATTATGTGGAGCAGATGGTGTGGCATTTTTAGTATTTGAGAGCATCTTTTCCCGTAGCCCCAGAAGCTATGGTATAATGGGAAGAGAGCTGAGAATCAAAAGACTGATCTGGAGCAAGTCACTTGTCTAGGTTTCCTCCTCTGTAAAATGAGGTCACATAACCAACTGTGGTGGTTTAAAGTTTACATAGTGCTTTATATGTATTATCTCATTTGATCCTCACCACCTCTGTGAGGTGGTAGGTGGTTTATTATTCCTATTTTACAGTTGAGGAAACTGAAACTGAGGGATTAAGTGATTTACCCAGGGTCCTACTGCTAGTAACTGTCTATGGCAGGATTTAAATCTACTGTGCTGTGCCACCTAGTTGCCTCAGGAGAGTGGAGCAAGGCTAGTTGCATTGAAAAGACAGACTGGGAAAGTGACCCAGTCCATCTGTCTTTCTCTTTTCCCAGGAGGTCTGTGTGAGAGCTAAGGGGTTCCCGATGGAATAAGTTCTGTAACTATAATTGTCTCTTTTGCTCTTGTTCACAGGAGAGCGTGACTATGGCCCCCCAATAGACCTTTGGGGTGGAGGCTGCATCATGGCAGAGATGTGGACCCGTAGCCCTATTATGCAGGGCAACACAGAGCAGCACCAGCTGACCCTCATCAGTCAGCTCTGTGGCTCCATTACCCCAGAGGTAAGTTTCTCTCTCACTAATCCTCAGTAAGACCCAGGGTCTTACCTTCTGTAATATGACAACTGCTAACTTCTTGCTGAGTACCAGAGCATCGGTCACCTAAAAATGCAGATGTTACAGCTGTGTTCCCATCTGCAGCCCTTGGGACACCTATGTCTCAGTAGCTTTTGTGGGCAAAAATGGATATGGATGAAACCTACCACCATCTCACCCCCTGCTTCCGAAGTTTTGGGATCCACTAGTAGATGAAGCCCACTTAATTAGAACATAAATTAGAAGTAAAAAGAAGTCTGCCAAAAACTTTTTTTGCCAGTCTTCTAAATTTGCACCATGCTTGCTGTTGTCAGTGGTAGCTAAAAACAAGCACATTTAACTATTATATTAAGGACCTGATTACATGGTTCTGTGCAGGGTACTAGATGTGGAGAATTAGAGAGACCTGCCTTTTTAGAACATGTCCCAAAGCATTAGGACGGGAGTGGCCATGAGGAGCCCGGTAAGAAGAAAGGGATCTGGCAAGTGGCAGAAAAACTCCCCTGGAGCTCACAGTTTGCTTGCCGTCTGTGCTGTGTGGGCCAGCCTCAGGCCCATAGCTCGTTTAGTACTGGGAGAACAGACTTTCTCCTTATTCAGGCAGGGACAAAGATAACAAATTGGCTTCATAGTTTAGTTGGAGACAGTTGCATTAAAATTCTAGGTTTTGGCCCATTTATCCTGTTGGCCAGGGCTAAGTCAACTGGATTGACACATAAAAGCCCCCTTCCCCAAGCTGACCATGTAAGGGCTCTTCTCTCGCTTTGTAGGTGTGGCCTAATGTGGATAAATATGAGCTGTATGAGAAACTGGACCTGCCTAAAGGACAGAAACGGAAGGTAAAAGAGCGGCTCAAAGCCTACGTCAAGGACCCTTATGCACTGGACCTGATTGACAAGTTGCTGGTACTGGACCCCACCCAGCGTATTGACAGTGACGATGCTCTCAACCATGACTTCTTCTGGTCAGACCCCATGCCCTCAGACCTCAAGAATATGCTTTCCACTCACAGCACTTCCATGTTTGAGTACCTGGCCCCACCCCGACGGAGAGGTGGTGGGCACATGCCCCAACAGCCAGCCAATCAGAGCCGCAACCCAGCAGCCACTAATCAGACAGAGTTTGACCGAGTATTCTAACGTGACACAGAAGATTGGTCCTTTTTTAGTTTTTGGGTTTTTTTATATATATGTATATATACATGTGACTATTATGTTGCTGAGATTATGGGGCATTTTTAATCATTTCCCATTGCACATATATATTTTTTTAAACTTTTGCTGTAGGCATCAGGGATCCTAGCTAGCATTTAGCCTGGACTAGAATGGCAAGCTAGCTAGTAGGGATGGAGCTTGACTGATACATTGCAACATTTGCCTACTCCATCCCCAGGACCCACATTTCTTGGTGCTGTCTTCCCCTCTGAAGAGATTTCCTTTTCTGAGGGGAGTAGGCACAGAGCATCCCCAGGCCTTCCTCTTTCTGGGTCGGCCTAGAAATCCTGTAGGCTTCTCTTCCTTCCTCTGTTAGCCAGAAGGTTAGATAATTTTGGATAGCCTTGGGGCCTCTGGTATTAGAAAAATCCCTGGCAGCTTCTCTGAGTCTTGCCAGTGGAGAGTGTTCCTGTTGATTGATGGGAAGATCAGAAGAGCAGCCCTCTTTGAGTCCCATGGTCTTCCCGACACCCTGCACTGAGTATTCTGGGAGATACGCTTCCATGGAGTGAACCCCTGGGGATCCAAAGGGATCAGGTGGGTCTGGTACCTCCTTGATCCCACTGCAGCTTGGAGGGCAGAAGAGCAACTTTGGTTTTCTTTTCAGAAGAATTGTATCATGTTAACCTCCATTTGATTTTTGCTTGGCAACACTGGTTATAATTAAAAGTTGCTTTTCTTAGCTGGCTGACTGTTGTGTATTTCTGTGGTACAGTCGTAGGTTTCACACTCTCCTACCTTGTATTAGGCTTGCAGGCCCTATTTGTGACATCAAGGGCAGCATGTTGAGGTAGTAGAAATAGCTCCACATTAACTCTTACCTGTATGCCCTGGACAGCTCACTTCACATCTCTGCCTTGGTTTCCTCATCTATAAAGTGTTTAATACTTCGCAGCTCACCCTAACAAAAATGGACTTGACTACATTGGAGGAAAGATCAAAGTAGAGGTGGCAGCCTTGCTTCAGGGAGATGATCGATCTGATAAAACAGATCATGAGAAGAAAGCAGAGCTGCTCTTCCCATCTGATTTTGCTTCTGTATGGTTTGCCAAAGAGAGTGATCTTTGTAAAGCTTATCCTTTACAACAGTTACTAATGACTACAACTACACTACTACAGTTATAACAATTACAACAATTACTAATCGAGGATCGATAACTAATAAGAGATAGCAAAAGAAGACTTGTTTGCCTTTGAATCACGTCAGTTGACTCTAGTGAACTACGTTGTACTTGCTGTAAGATCTGGAAAATGGAATGACTGAGGTGTTGTCATTGATCTTTGAAGGGCAGAGATGCTGTAGATTAGAGAAGGGCATATATGGTGCTAATTTTCAAAAACTAGGAAGAGACTAGGATCAGCAAAGTGTAGATAGGCCAGTGAACTGGCCTGTCTTCTATTATTGAAACTTCTAAAATATGATTAAAGATTTAGGAAAGGAGGCAAAGACCACAATAGCTAGGACAATTTTAAGAAGCAGGTCATGGCAAACTTTTCCTTTTGGCAGGGGTGGAGAAGGGAGTGGGCAAGATTACAGGATTTAGGTGGATCAGAGTAAAGCGGTTTGAGTAACACAAATGTCCTAGCAAAGCTTTTGCCAGTCTCTTGTGGTATCACAGAAAAAATGGAGAGGTGGACTAGAAAATGGTTCAGAGGTGACTGAGTGGCTGGACAAAAAAGTAGGCCTTTGTGGTTGATACCGTCTTGGAGGAAACTCGATGGAGTATCCTAGGAATTTGCTGTTGAACATTTTTACTGATGGCTTGATAGAGATATAAATGCATGCTTCTTATTAAACATAATGCTACACAAAGCTGGGTGTAATAGCTCACATACAGAGTGATTTAAGTTAGAATTTTAAAATATATTAACAGGACACAGGATGAAATCTGATAATATGGAATTTGAAAGGACTAAATATTAAGTCTTAGACCTGAGTTTAAAAAAAATGAAAGTGATAAGTACAAGGTAGAAAAGCAAGGCTAGATAATAGTTTGCCTGAGAAAGCTAGGGGATGGGAGTGGAGGGTGTGATATTGTTAATGAGCTGAACTGCGGACTGAATAGTGGGGTAGGGTATCCAAGAAAGCTCATACAACTTTTTAGGCCACAATAAGGTAATGGCAGTGTCCAGGACTATCTAGTCTTGCTGCCCTGGTCATACCAGATTTGAAATGCAGTGGTCAGCTCTAGATGCTGCCTTTAGGAAGGACATTGGAAAGCATCCAAAGGATGGCTTGAGAATTATGTGAATTATGACAGGCATTAAATTCATGCCACCCAAGCATCACTTAAAGGAGCTGAGGATGTTTGTCCTGAAGAAGAGGAAACAGAATGGTCTTCTGGTAATTTGAGGGACCTCACATGGAAGAGAGATTGTATTTGTTCTGTTAGGCCCGTATGACAGGATTAGTAACGAATAGAAGATGTAGGGAAGCAAATTTAAGCTTTGTATAGAGAAAAACTTAATTAGAGTTGTGCAAAAGTCCAAAAAAATGGGCTAGCTCAGGAGGGAGGGCAGTGGCCTTCCCACTGGAAGGCTTGCAGTAAAAGCCAGATGGTCACCTGTTGGCTCTGTTATAGGAGTTGGGCCTAGGTGAATTAGGAAGTTCTGTGATTGAGGAGATAATTATCCATGCTGGCTGTAAGTATCAAAGGAGATAACTGGAGGCAAAATGTTTTTAAAATTCTCAAGGTGTGGTTTCTCCTCCAGATACTGACCTGAGTTCTCTTTACAAAGTGAAAGGGTCTGCTGATCTCTATGTAAAGCAATTTACATATTGTGAATTTGCTCCACTTGAGGACTGTGAAGGAAGGGAGGGGAGGGGGCATGTTTCAAGGATACATGACTGGCTGGGAACGAACGGGTGGGACCAGGCCAGCCCTGGAGGGTTCTGGCCAGAATAGAGAGGAAGAAGGCAGGCGGGTGGGCAGATTGGGGTAAAGGTTGGTCTCTCCAGGCCAGGTCTCAAGCCAAGCCCCCTGATCAAAGGTGACAGTCCATTTGCTTTTTCTAGAAAGGGTGATTTTTATTTTTGTTTTTGTTTCTTTGGTGAGAGAGGTGGGAGGCTAAGGGGGAGGAGCAAAGAGGAGAGAGCACAGTACTGTACAGTAAAGTTAACATAGGTGTTTTTCAGAAAGTTGATTTCTTTCGGAATTCTTTATGTAAAGTTGAATTTGCATAATGTAAATTTATGTAAAGCAATAACTGTTTATATAATGCTTTGATGTTTGCAAAGCACTTTATAAACTCTTTTCCTTCTCATAACAACCCTGAGAGGTTAGGTGCTATTATTTCCATTTTACAGATGAGGAAACTAAGGCAGATTAAGGTTAAATGACTCGTTCAAGATCACATATCTAGTAATGTGTCTAAGGCCAGATTTTAACTTGAGTCTTCCTGACACCAGGTTGAGCACTTTAACCACTGCACCCCACAAGTTTTGTACTTCAAAGCTAGTAGCTATAGTGCTTCCTCTCTCCGTGAGAGCCCCCTCACATTTGTGTAATGTAGAGGCAGGAGGCTTGTTTGTAGTTTGAACCTAAGGAGTCTCCAGTGTGCTAGGTACATTTTTGGACAGTGGAAATAATGTGTCATATTTTAAACGTGATTGCATTTCTTCCCTAATACATATGTACAGAAATATTCCTTCACTTTCGAAAATAGTTTTTTAATTGTGAAGGGACAATTTTGGTTTTTTTGGCCTGCTTGTTGTGAATCCTGGCTTCAGCCATCACACTCAGTTTCAACTTGGCCTTCCTAGTTTCTCTGTTACCTGTAATTACAGACATATTGTGAGTCAGTCATGCGTGAAAAACGTTGATTCACAGTAGGCCCCTGCCACGGCGTGAGACCTGCTCTAAACAGTGCATTAGTTTTGGGCAGCTAGGTGGCACAGTGGATAGAGCACCGGCCCTGGATTCAGGAGGACCTGAGTTCAAATCCAGCCTCAGACACATGAACACTTACTAGCTGTGTGACCCTGGGCAAGTCACTTAACCCCATTGCCTAGCCAAAAAAAGAAAAAACCCAGACAGTGCATCAGTTTTGCTGAGTTTTGTGTAGCAACATTATAACCACTGCGATAGTGTTTTGTTCTGTTTTTATTTAAAGGCTGCTATTAAACAGAAAATCCCAGAAGAATCAGAACTGGAAGCCTGTCTACATGGTTTTATCAAAATCATATCCCACTTTTTGTTTCAAGGAGTAGGCAGAAAGACCCCACTGAGGGGGCTGCCTAAGGCCTTTGGCATCCATACTTCGTGCTTTCCATGTTGCCTCCATGTCCATGCTCTACGCTTTGTTTTTGTCGTTATTGTAAAGTGGTGTCTGACTCTTCGTGACCCCATTTGGGGTTTCTTGGCAGAAAGATTGGAGTGGTTTACCATTTTCTTCTCCAGCTTAGTTTTTACAGGTGAGGAAACTGAGGCCAACAGGGTTGAGTGACTTGCCCAGGGTCACATAGCTAGTAAGTGTCTGAGGCTAGATTTAAACTCAGGAGGGTGAGTCTCCCCTGACCTGCACCCTATCTACTGCGCTGCCTATCCTGCCCCTCATTAGATCCCTCCAATAACCTCATGGGATAAGAATGGTTATTTTGTGCGACAAACCTCAAATGTTGAGGCTCAGAGAGATTGGCCCAAGGTCACAGAGAGTTCATGGCAGAACCAGAATCGGACATGTCTTCTGACTAGTAGTTTCAGTGATCCGTCCACCTCACCAAGTTGTGGTTACTCTGTGGAGGACAAGGAAGGGCTGGACCTTTTAAGTCACTGCCTGTAAATTTGTTTTTTTACTGTAATAAATGTTTTAATTTCACTTTTATTTGCATTCTAATATCCCATTTACTCCCGTGCCATAAGCTTTTGTTTCTTCAGTTTCTCCTGGGATATCTTTCTTTTGAGCAACCTCCTCTTCTGGTTTAGGAACAATTTGGTCCTTTTCAGTGTCATCTCAATATGGCAAGGAGAGCTCATGTAAGGGTTGATTCGACCATGAGCCCTGCAGGTACGCCATCGCATTTTGGGAGCCTTGTTAACCTGGATATGCTCACAATGACGAGAGAATCCACACCCAAACCCTTCAGTTCTGCATTGCTCTCTGCGTTTTTAAGCATACACAGCAACAGTTCACTCTTTTTTGGGCCAATGACCCTGTGTCCAACCCCACTGCTTAGCCTGGGCACACCTGCCAACTCCACCATTATGTCGCCTGAAGGGAACACATTGTTTCTTCAATGTGACATCTTTCAAATACTTGGTCACTTTTTGGATATGCATGCCCTTGAGAGCTTGGGTTGTTTCACGGGTGTTCTTGAAGTGGACCCGGAGATCTGAACCCCTTGATTTGCATGATTTTGTGGGGTTCTCTGGATCAAGAGAGTACTTCACCATTTTAAATGATTACCTAGGACGGGTCAAGGGAAGAGCCACCTGTAGATTTTTAGCCAAGAGGTATTCCCTCTGAAGAATCCAACGCGGGGATTTTGGAGGACAGGGGTCACAGGAAGCTAACAGCTACAGCTACAAAGACTTCTAGAATTGAGGGAGGCCATATTACAAAAGGAGTCAGTGCATTCCTTGGACGTGTATTCAAGGGCGGAGGTGACCTGGGGAAGTGATACCATGGCCTGGGCATCAAACCCATGCCTGTAAGAAAGAGGCTGTTAGAAACACTACGAGA